AATTCTGGAGAAGGCTGGAGAACTGGGCAGGAATCTAGACATTTCTGGAAGGCCAGGTGGCAGGACCTATAAGGATAGCTCAGAGCAGGAAGAGGTTGATCAGGATGCACTATTGCCAGGGACATGAACTCATTCCCAGGATCTTTGTAACCCTGTTCAAGAACACGTGTTCCAGAAGTGGGGATTGATCACTCAATTGGCCTAGCTTGGGTCTCATGCTCTTCTTGTGGCCAGAAGAGATGGAGCTACCGATGAGAGTCTCAGCAGGCCAAACCCAGTGGGAAGAGGTCATCCCTAGAAAGAAATGCGGATGGGGGCCTGTTAGGAAGAACCACAGATGTCCACCACAGGACAAAGAGAAGTCCATGTGGGGGATGGGGCTAGTGGTCCAGGCAGCACCCATCTCGGGCTCTGGATCCAGACTTCCTGGGTGCAAATCCTGGCTTCTGCCCTCACAGCTCTGTGACCTTGGACAAATTTCCCACCTTCTTTTTGCCTCTGTTTCTTTATCTATAAAAAGAGAGCATAATGGTACCCTCTTGTAGAGTTATTGTGAGGATTAAAATTAGTTAACTCATGTGCATTGTTTAGAATAGTGCCTATCACATGGTAAGTATTCAGGAAGGCAGCTGTAGTAATAATTGTGATGATGATGGTGATTACTGAAGGAACTGTAGGTGGTGTGTCAATGTGCCTGGCAGGTGGAGGAGTGATGAGGGATGAATCTGGGCAGGTAAGGAGGCTTTAGGAATTGGTATCAGCCTAGAGTTTAAGACTTTATCTACTAGGTGATGGGAAAGCTGTAGAAGGATTTTTCTAAAATAACTTTTTGGTATGAAAATTTTCAGAATATATGGAAGTTGAAATAACAGCACAATGTCCACCCCTATACCTGTGTCTAAACACAGTCTTTACATTTTGCCACATTTGGTTTATCTTTCTGCCTCTATCTTTTTCTGTGTTGTCTTTTGCTGAACCATTTGAAAGTAAGTTGCAGACATGGTAACACATCACCTCGAAATACTTCCCCTTGCGTCTTCCACATCACTACAGCATTGTTGTTATACCTAAGACAATTAAATTCATAATAATTCACGTTATCATGTTGTGTCCAGCTGTGGGAAGATTGTAAGTTGGGAGTTAGGTAAAGCATGGTGACTGCGCGGAGGCGGAGGCTGGAAGGGCGCTGAGGGCAGCTGAACACCCTTCCAGCAATCCAGCCAGGAGCTGATGAAGCATGAACTAGGGCAGTGCCGGGTGATGAGGTGCCAGTGTCTGAGGAATCCATAGGCCTCCCGCTGAGTGTGGGGCAGGGGTGCTGGGTCAGTGAGGGCTTCCTGGAGGAGGTTCCAGACCTTAGAGCTGAGTGTTGAAGGATCAGGAGACCTGCAGGAAGCAGATAGGGGTATTGTAGGCAGGAGTGGGAGGATTCATTCAACACATGGATATTGAACATCTACTGTGATGGTTAAGTTCATGTGTCAACTTGACTGGGCCGTGGGGATGCCCAGATATTTGGCCAAACATTATTCTGAGTGTCTGTGAGGGTGTTTTTGGATGAGATTAACATTTAAATCAGGAGACTGAGTAAAGCAGGTTGCCCTCCCTAATGTGGGTGGGCCTCATCCAAGTACTTGAAGGCCTGAATAGACTGACCCTCCCTGAGTAAGTGAGAATTCTGCCTGTGGCCTTCAAACTGGGACATTGGCTCTTCCTGGTTCTACAGCAGCTTCTGGCCTTCAGACTCAAACTGGGACATTGGCTCTGCAGATTTTGAACTTGCCAGCCTTGATAATCACATGAGCCAATTCCTTATAAATGGCTTTATATACAGTCATGCACTGCATAATGACGTTTCAGTCAACGACTGGCTGCATTTATGATGGTGGTCTCATAAGATTAGTGCCATATGGCCTAGGTGTGTAGTAGGCTAGACCATCTAGGTTTGTATAAGTACACGCTATGATGTTTGCACAACAACGAAATCGCCCAAAGATGCATTTCTCAGGATGTATCCCTGTCATTAAGCAACATGTGACTGTGTGTGTGTGTGTGTATGTGTGTGTGTGTTTGTGTGTGTCTGTATATATATATATATCCCCTATCTGTTCTGTCTCTCTGGAGGGCCCTAATACATCTACCATATGCCAGGCATTCTGTCATGCTGCTGAGACCGTAACAGGCAAACATGACACAGGCTGTCGTGGAGTGGCCACTCAGACCTCAGTTTGCGTGGACCTGGCGGTGACTGGTGGGAGATGTGATGAGGGGTGGGCAGGGGTCAGATCAAGAGAGGGCCTTAGAGACCATGGAAAGGAGTATGGACTTTATTCTGTGGACCAGTGCTTTCCAAACTTCACTGTCATGGTTTCTGTCATTCCCATGTTTCAACTGCATTCTTATTTGGTTGATACATTTTAAAATATCAGTTTTATGTCCATTCATTTTTTTCAACTGTTTTAAGCCTAATACCTATGAAATAATGGGATTGTTTTTCTTATTACACGTGCAAATAGGTATGAAGTCATTGCAATAAAAAGGCGTTGGTCCATATACTGCTTAAAATAATTTCCTATTTGTCGCACATTTTGGGAAAAGTTGTCATGAGTGATGGGGGTAGGAGTGGCTATTATGGGTTTTAGGCAGGGACATGACATGCTGAGATTTATGTTTTGGCAAGATTCACTCTGGCTGTTGAGTGGACAATAGACTGGAACGCAGGGAGACCTGCTGGGGACTTGCAGTTTTCCACATGAGCTATGATAAGTGTCTGAACCAAGGATGTGCAGTAGAAGCAGAAAGGAGGGGACAGATTTGAGAGGGCATTCTGAAGTAGAATATGATAGGACTTAGAGACCAGTGGCATGAAGATTGAGGGAGAAGAAAGAGTCTGGTTGGCTTGGGGGTGGTTTTGGTTTGGTTGCCTGGGAAGGTGGAGGTGCCTTCACAGAGGCAGGGGGCCCGATGGAGAGGCTAAGGTCAAGTCCAAAGAGCAGGATGTGCGGATGGAGTGTTCTCAGGGCCACAGGCTTTGACTACAGTTTTAGCAATGATGCTGTGAGGTTCATTGCCCCTTAAGTAATAGCAAACCCACACTTTAAATTAAATTAAAACATTTTTAGTTTAACTCCTCTGAGTGGACCCACACATGCCTTCTCTGCTCGTTATTACTGAGAATGACTAAGTATTATAATTGAGCTGAAAATAATCTCCCGCCCATACTTGCTGGGTTGGTTTCTAAGTATTGCTTGGGTTTTTAAGTAATGAAACAAAGTTGTGCTCTTTCCAAATGTTAATTTTGAAGACTGCAGATGGTAACCATCTGTTACACGACTAGCATTTTACAATATTTGATTAGCACTTTATATAGTTTGGGGAAGCCTGCCAGTGGAGTCTGCCCATCAGGTTGGGGACTTCAGTGGTATGTCCTCTGTAGTGGCCCCTGAAGGTCTTTGCCCCCATTGTGTGGGGTTCCCCTCTGTTTGTTGGGCTGAAGCGTGGCTAATCATATTGGCAGGTTGATATTCATGGGGGCCCTGCCTCGTTTGCACTTTTCCTTAGAGCTAGAACCTGCAGAGCTCATCGTGGAAGGAGAATTTGGGAGGTCAAGACCTGTCCATCAGTTAGGACTCAAAACAACAAACACAAGCTGCTTTGACAAAGGGGGTTAATTGGTTCAGATCATTGAAAGGCTAGGGGTGGGACTGCCTTCAGGTGGATGGTTTTGAGGCTCCAATGAATTCTTCAGACTTGATTTCGCTCAGGGTCTTAGCTCTGCCTTCTGTGTGGCTTCAGTCTCAGGCTTCAAGAGGAGGCAAGATGGCTTCCCTGAGAGAGGATCAGTCCTCTCAGCATCAAGTCTCCAGGGAAAGAGCTGAGGCCTTTCCAGTCACTTCTGCAGAGGTGTTGAGATTTGCTCTGATTGGATCAGCTCCCATCATGTGCCCATCTGTGAACCAATCCCTGCAACCACCTGGATGCAGGGCTCTGGTTGGTCAGGCCTGGAGTGGAGCCCCACCCAGGGCTTGTGGGCTGAGACCTGGCTAGGGGCAGATCGCCAGTTGCACATCCAGGGCTGTTACCAGAAGGGAGGAAGGATGGTGGGGGCAGACAACCACCTGTCCATCCCCGTGTCAGAGTGCGAGTGCAGAGTACTGGGAGGAACTGGCAGACTTAGCTGTGGAGACAGACATTTATTGTTGCCAGGAAGATAATATCCTGGAAGTGGAATCAAGGATTCTCTGAAACCAGCTACTTAATAAGTTTCCTTTCATAGTTTAAAGACCTCTGATAGTTTTAGTATTCTAGTTCTCTTTTTTGAGGGGGAGGGAGTTGTTTTTTTTCTTTTTGTGTTACTTTAAAACTAAGGCCAGTCACTTAATCTTGGTCTTTTAGCTCCTTCATTTGGAACGTAGTGAGTTTCTCTTTCAGAGAGGGGAAATCTGTACAGGGGAGATAAGAAATTCCATTCAGTCAGTTCCACGACAGGGCGTGAAGCGCTGGGGCCTGGGCCAGGCTCCGCGGGCCTGGCAGCAGATGAGTCCCCAGCAGTGTGGGAAGCGCTGTAGCAGCTCCATCAGCAGGGCCGTGCAGCCCCCAGGGAGGGACAGTCAGGAAGGGCTTCCCAGAGGAGGTGACATGGAGTAGGACCTGGAAGGATGAACGCGCGTTCCTCACATGGAGGAGACGGGGAAGGGAGCTTGACGCTAAGGGGGCTGCATGTACAAAGGCATGGGGAGGTGACATACTTGCTGGTTTGGGGGATCTGGGAGAAGTTCCTTGTGGCTGACCGTGGGATGAGCCCAGGACGCTGGTTCCAGAGCTCATTTTGGTGTCAGTGTGGAGGAGACTGGGGAGTGACAGCCTGGAGGCAGGGACACCAAGCAAGATGCTGTGGTAGAGATCCAGGCAGGAGCTTATGGGGCATCTTGTTAAAGTGCAAGTTCTATCTAGTAGGTCTCGGGTGATGTCGACGCTGCTGGTCCAGGCCCACACTCGGAGTAGCGAGGCTCAGACCTCTGGGCATTCTCCCCTCGTTACCTGTAGTCAGCTGGTTTCTCAGTGATTGCAATGCAGGGTCTTCCTGCTTGTCCCCCGCACTCTGCCTTGGGGGATGGGTCAGTGACACCTCTTCACCCACCACCTGAAGTTGGTCTCCAGAAAGAAGCTGCCAGAATGAGGCTGCGCATCTCACCTGTGGTCCCCGCATACCTGCTCTGGGTCCCCATAGTCTACAGGACTGAATGCCCAGTCTGTGCTCAGGATTTGGGTCCTGGGGTGTGGCATGAAGGGGACCTGGCCTCTGTGCTATATCAAGCCTCTTCACAGAGTGCTGGAACCCGGGGGCCAGGCCAGGGATTGGCTTGATGCCTTAGAAGTGATGCTCTGTGTTTTCTAGGGACAGACCTTGAGGATGGCCCCGCTCCCAGGGGCAGAACTGGTCCAGAGGCCACTGCAGCTCTACCGATACCTGCTGCGCTGTTGTCAGCAGCTGCCAACCAAGGGCATCCAGGAACATTACAAACACGCTGTCAGGCAGGTGGGAGCAGGGTACCCTGGGCTGGGGATAGAGGGGTTCCCGTAATAGGCAGCCTATCACAAGGTCATGGGGGCCAGGGGCAGGGGGCAGGGATGGTCTTTCAGGTGGTGGTGGGGCAGCAGTTTGGTAAGCCACCGGAAACCAATGCTGGACAGCCCAGCTCCTCTCTCTGGTTTCTGTTCAGGAAACAGAGATGCCCCACCCGGCACACCAGCTCTGTGCCAGGGTTTGAGTAAGGCAGCTAAATGGGTAATTAAAATAGAGCATGGGACACAATATCATTTTGACAGGCATTCCTGTCAGTAATGCACAACCTGAATTTAATCATGAGAAAACATCAGGTAGACCCAAACCGAGGGGCCATCCAGCACATACTGGCCTGTACTCATCATGTATGCCAATGTCAGGAAACCCAAAGGAAGGCAGAAGACTGCTCTGGTTCAAAGAAGACTAGAGAGATGTGACAACTAAATGTAATTAGTGATCTCAGATGGATCCTGGACCAGAAAAAGCAATTATTATAAAGGACGTTATTGGGGAAATTCAAGTAATTGGAATATGGGCTGTAGGTTAGACCATAGGATTACTTCAATGTTAAATGTTCTGAATTTGAGTACTGTGGTTATGTAAGAGAATGCCCTTATTGTTAATACACTCCGAAGTGTTCAGGGGTAAAGGGCATGATGTCTGCAACTTTTAAATGCTTCCAGAAATTTTTATACAGACACATAGAAAGAGAGGATGATAAAGCAGATGTGGCAAAACAGTAACAATTGGTGATTCTGGTAGGGAATTCTTTTTTATTCTGGCAGCTTTTCTCTAGGTTAGAAATTAATTCCAAATAAAAGGTTAAAAATGCAAATGAATACAGATATAATGTGGAAAGTAAAAAAATATAGAGGTAGCACCAGAGGGCTGTGGGCACCTGGGGAAGGAGCCGTTAACTGTCAAGGGAGTCAGGGAGGACTTCCTGGAGGTGAGCATTTGAAGTGCTCCTAAAGGCGAGTAGGAGGCTGTGTGGGTTGAGAGGGACAGGGCAGAGGAACCACCAGTTCTTTGGAGGACCCTGAGTGCCACACCAGTAAACCTGAATCTCACGTTGCTTCTCAAGGGCAAACATCTGGTCAAAAGCAAACAGCAGCCTGCCTGGCTCTGCACTGGGCCTGGCTGGATTTTCCATAGCCCCCCTCCGCACCGCCCCTCCCTCTCCGCGTGACTCTCCAGCTGGGTCGGGAGAAGCCCTGTTCTCCCCTGTTGTGAAGCCATGCAGAGAGATGGAAGTTCCCCTTAGACCCTTGCTGCCTGATAACCTTTGGGTCCAGCTTCATTTGGGGGTGACGGGGGGCCAGTCTTCCTTTTTGCAGTTGCCCCTTGTAGTGAAATAGACCAGGATTCAGATGCTGGCACCATTGCTTAGCGGCAGGTGAGGATTTCTGAGGCTCTGTGTCCTCATTTCTAGGTGGGATCATCATAAATGCCTGTGGAGGGGTAGGAGCCATGCTGAGTATAAAGTGCCCGTGCTGTGCCCAGCCCGTAACTGGTGCTCTGAAGCTGCCGGTTCTGTGAATTTTGCCTAGTCATCTTTTTTTATGCTTAAACTTCCAGAGTTTCCGGGTTCATTCGGATGATGACAACCCTGAGAGAATCCAGCAGATTATTAAAAGAGCCATTGAAGATGCCGACTGGATCATGAACAAAGTGAGTGCTTGGCTCCCGCCTCCACCTATGAGCTGGGGTGTAGATGGCTGTGATCTCTGTGACCACCAGGGGTCGCTCCTGCCCCACAGTTGAGACCTACAGTGCTGATGAAGCTCCCCAGCCAGCTGCTCCCTTCCTCCAGAAGGCCAAAGGTGGTGGCAGATGCTCTTCTAGTTGCATTTGTTTCTGCCTCCATCCCTAACGGTGCTGGATAAGCTGAGATGGGGCAGCAGGAAGAAGGAAGAGAATGGTCTTCCTGGAAGCAATGGTGGCAAAGCTGGCAGCAACCTCATGATGTCTCAGAGAGAGAAGCTGTCCTGCGGGGTAGTGAGCTCCCTGTCTCTGTGGGTATTCACAGTGAGGCATGATTGTTGAGGAAACGTTCAAGTATCTGTTTTGGTGGAAGAAGGGAGGACTTTAGAAATACAGACTGGTTTGCTGGTCCTTACACTTTGGTGTTAGAACTTGCCCCACCTCCCTGTCCTTTTAAATCAGAATCTCTAGATGTGGGGTCCAGGATTAATTTTTTTAAACTCAGTGATTGGGCTAGATGGCTTCTGAGGGTCCTCTTCTAACCTGAGGTGTTTTTTTTTTTTTCCAAACAAGACTCAGCTTCAAGGGAAGGATGGGCACGCCACCGTGTTCAATTCCAATGTCCTCAGTGTCTTTCTTATCCTCCCTCCCCAACCCCATCAGCTTCCTTTTCTCTTAAAGAAGAAAGGAGGTCCAGGCGCCAACCAGAGATCTGACCATCTGGTTCCTCCTGACTGGGTCCCACCACCTCCGAGGAGCCCCTGCAGGAGGCAGCAGAGGCCTGGATGCTCATGTTCTCAGGGTTTCCCAGGTCCGCCCCCCCCCCCCCGCCCCCGTTGGCTTCCCTCGCCCACTTCTAATGATCTCTCTGTGTTGCAGTATAAAAAACAAAACTGAGACTCCAGGGCCTAAGGAGTGAAGCTGTCCTGAAGACACAGGTTGAGAGGCCTCTCTTCTCCTGGAGCTGATCAGCAGCAGCGGTTTGGGAAGATCCCTGGGCCTTGTGGGCTGAAAGCAGGAAGCCAGGGGTGGGAGAGGCTGACATTTGTGCAGACGGCTCTTCTCGCCATGTTTGTGTCCCCAGTGTCCCTTACGTTTGCTTTCCAGCCGCTTATGATGTGAGATTTGGGGAGAATGTGTTTTTCGCTTTGCTCTGAAAGTGATTTATTTATTCTGGACGTCATTCTTTAAGACCCGGAGCAGGCGTCCCCTTGGATGGCAGCATACACAGAGCACAGGGCATGGGTTTTAGAACCAGATGGATATGGATTTGAATCCCAGCTCAGCAGCTTTTCAAAGGTGTTGTCTTCGAGCTCAGTTTCCTCCTTTGTGAGGATTAAATAAGATGACGTTGAAGGGCCTAACGCAGGACACGGTGCCTGGTGGTGCTGGTAGATAGCCCTCCGAGGAAGCCTCCTCCGCTGCTCCCTCCTCGGCTCCCGCAGTGCCCTGCACATCTCTCTAGCACACTCCACGTCGGGGCTTGTTTGTTTGTGGACTTGTCCTGTCCCTGCTTGTCACCCAGAGCCCTCACAATTGCACCGTGCTCAGCAGTCCGCCAAGCTGCTCTTCCTGACGCCGTCCCTCCTGCAGCCCTGGTCCTTGCCTTCACGGAGTTGATAGTGTCCCTGAAGTGGGGAAATGCAGGCTGTGTGAGACAAGGAAGAACGCCAGGGCTGCTCCAGGAGACGCCGATGTGTTCAGGCTTCTGTGAAGTTTCCATCTGTCTTGACTCGCCCTTCTCTGCTTTGCCGCCATCTTGGAAGGAAGAAAGGAGGGAGGAAGCATCTGTGTGGGTGATGTGAGCCTGCAATCGGTGGAGAGAGACAGCCCTGGATCGCATCCCAATTCCAGACAAGTTGCTCCTGGGTAACTCATCTTGCCTCTTTCAGCCATCTATCCAATAGAGTGATGACCGTGCCTACCTCACAGGGCCGCGGTGAGCAGTAATGAGCTCTGAACGTGACCAGTGCTTCACCCAGAACCTGGCATGGGGAGCCAGCTGCAAGGTCGTTGCCAGCTACCATTATTAGGGAGCCCTGCTTTGCAGACGGGGATGAAAGATCAGAGAGGTCGAGCCCCTTTTCAGAGTCGCAAAGCTTAGTAGCCAGGTCTGTCTGAATCTACTAAACACTATAGATTTGAGAGGGAAAAGAGAGCAGCAGGGAAAGAGGAAAGGGAGGGAGGGAGGAAGGAAGAAGAAAGGAAGAAGAGAGAGCAGCAGGGAATGTCGGGGATAACTGATAACTGGCCAGAGCGGGCAGAGCAGCCAGAAGATGCAGAGAGTAGCCACATTGGGACTTGAGTATCCCCAAGGACTCGCAACCAGCAGGATGAGCTAGCGTGTGTGTGTCCCTGCAATTATATGACTTAAAGTGACTCAGGTACATCTCTGTGCACTCAACTGATTAGCAAATAACAAAGTAAATACATCAATTTGTGAAAGTTCTGGTGTCTTCTTGATGTATGTTTCCTACTGTGTGCTGTCATACTAGGTATTGAGGACTTGGAGACAGGCAGACAGAAAGCTGCCTGGGGGTGGGGATCTTTCTTCAGAGGGGATGACCAGGTGCTGGTCCCACTGCTAGACACCAGATGATGAGGTCAGATTTGCCGCACCAGGGGGAGGGTAAGTTGAGGAGTTTCAGGCCAGTCCCATACTCAACCGACCCCCCTCCCCACCTGTGTTGTTCAGCCCCTCTGAAGTCAGGGGGCCATTTGGTCAACAGGGTGGGGTTGGTTGTATGCCAGGCCTTTCACCAGCAGGAGAGGTGTGAGGGAAGGCTGGCCAGGGTTTGGGAGAGAGTCCCTTGCCCTGACTGGCTCTTCAGGGTGGTCCCACGACCCTCAGTTCACTGGTTGGTGCTTGATCCAGATGTGCTGCCTCAGCCAGGTGGCAGACAGTGGATGCCCAGCTCCGGAGAGGGGCTTGCCTGTGACGGAACCGACAAGCGGCATGGGTCGGTTAACAATGTGTTGGCCACTCTCCACCAGCCCCTGTGATGCCGGAGAGGGTAGTGAGCATGGTCATCTGGGGTGGTACCCCGGAAGTGCAGATGGAGGAAATAAGGTAGAGAGGGCAGGATAAACATGGCAGAGAGGTAGGTGGAGTTGGGAGTGGGGCACCGTGTGAAGCCTGGGGGAGCCTCTCCCATCCGCAGCAGCCTTCCCCTGTTCTGCCCATGCACTCTGAGCCCTGCATGGATCTTGTGGATGGGTAGGTATTTTTTTTTTTTAATGTTTTTTGATTATTGTTTGCATGAAGTATCTTTCTTTTTTTCTTTTTTTATTGAGATAACATTGGTTAATGACATTGTATAAATCTCAGGTGTACATCATTATACTTCTATTTCTGCATAGATTACATCATGTTCACCACCCAAAGACTAATTACAGTCCATCGCCACACACATGTGCCTAATCATCCTTTCATCCTCCTCCCTCCCACCTTCCCCTCTGGTATCCACCAATCCAATCTCTGTCTCTATGTGTTTGTTGTTGTTTTTATCTTCTACTTATGAGTGAGATCATATGGTATTTGACCTCCCTCTGACTTATTTCACTTAGCATAATACCCTCAATGTCCTTCCATGTTGTCACAAATGGCTGGGTTCCATTGTTTCTTATGGCTGAGTAGTATTCCATTGTGTATATATCACATCTTCTTCTTCTTCTTTTTTTTTTTTTGTGAGGAAGATCAGCCCTGAGCTAACATCCATGCCAATCCTCCTCTTTTTGTTGAGGAAGACCGGCCCTGAGCTAACATCTGTTGCCAATCCTCCTCCTTTTTTTCCCCCTTTTTCTCTCCAAGGCCCCAGTAGATAGTTGTATGTCATAGTTGCACATCCTTCCAGTTGCTGTATGTGGGATGCCGCCTCAGCATGGCCAGACAAGTGGTGTGTTGGTGCATGCCCGGGATCCGAACCCAGGCCACCAGTAGCAGAGTGCACGCACTTAACTGCTAAGCCACGGGGCCGGCCCCCACATCTTCTTTATCCATTCATCCCTTGATGGGCACTTAGGTTGCTTCCAAGTCTTGGCTAGTGTGAATAATGCTGCAATGAACACAGGGGTGCATGTATCTTTATGCAGTCATGTTTTCATATTCTTTGGATAAATACCCAGCAGTGGAATAGCTGGATCATATGGTAGTTCTATTCTTAATTTTTTGAGGAATCTCCGTATTGTTTTCCCTAGTGGCTGCACCAGTTTGCACTCCCACCAGTGGAGTATGAGAGTTCCCTTCTTTCCACATCCTCTCCAACACTTGTTTCCTGTGTTGTTAATTATAGCCATTATGATGGGTATGAGGTGATATCTCATTGTAGTTTTGATTTGCATTTCTCTGATAGTTAATGATGTTGAACATCTTTTCATGTGTCTGTTGGCCATCTGTATATCTTTGGAGAAATGTCTCTTGAGGTCTTTTGCCCATTTTTTAATTTAATTGGATTGTTAGTTTTTTGTTGTTGAGAAGTATGAGTTCTTAATGTATTTGGAGAATAACCCTGATCAGATATATGGTTTGCAAATGGCTTCTCCCAATTGTTAGGTAGCCTTTTGTTTTTTTTGATGGTTTCCTTTGCTGTGCAGAAGCTTTTTAGTTTGATGTAGTCCCATTTGTTTATTTTTGCTATTGTTTCCCTTGCCCTGTCAGACACGGTACTTGAAAATATCTTGCTAAGACCCATGTCGAGGAGCATAGTGCCTATGTTTTCTTCTAGAGGTTTCATGGTTTCGGGTATTACATTCAAGTCTTTAATCCATTTTGAGTTAATTTTTGTGTATGGTGTAAGATAATGGTCTACTTTCATTTTTTTGCATGTGGCTGTCCAGTTTTATTGAAGGGACTTTCCTTTCTCCATTGTATGTTCTTGGCTCCGTTGTTGAAAATTAGCTGTCTGTAGATGTGTGGGTTTATTTCTGCATTCTTGATTCTTTTCCATTGATCTGTGTGTCTGTTTTTGTGCCAGTACCATGCTGTTTTGGTTACTATAGCCTTGTAGTATATTTTGAAATCAGGGAGTGTGATACCTCCAGCTTTGTTCTTTTTTCTCAGGATTCTTTGTTCTTTTCCTATGAAAAATGTTGTTGGAACTTTGATAGGGATTGCATTGAATCTGTAGATTGCTTTAGGAAGTATGGACATTTTAACTATGTTAATTCTTCCAATCCAAAAACATGGAATATCTTTCTATTTCTTTGTGTCTTCACTTTCTTTCAACAGTGTTTTATAGTTTTCAGTGTACAGATCTTTCACCTCTTTGGTTAAGTTTATTCCTAGGTATTTTATTCTTCTTGTTGCAATTGTAAATGGGATTGTATTCTTAATTTCTCTTTCTGCTACTTTGTTGTTAGTGTATAGAAACACAACTGATTTTTGTATGTTGATTTTGTATCCTGCAACTTTATCGTATTCATTTATTATTTCTAAAAGTTTTTTGATGGATTCTTTAGGGTTTTCTATATATAAAATCATGTCACCTGCAAATAGTGACAGTTTCACTTCTTCCTTTCCAATTTGGATCCCTTTTATTTCTTTTTCTTGCCTGATTGCTCTGGCTAGGACTTCCAATACTATGTTAAATAGGAGTGGTGACAGTGGGCATCCTTGTCTGGTTCTTAGAGGGATAGCTTTCAGTTTTTCACCATTGAGGATGATATTAGCTGTGGGTTTCTCATATATGGCCTTTATTATGTTGAGGTACTTTCCTTCTATACCCATTTTATTCAGAGTTTTTATCATAAATGGATGCTGTATCTTATCAAATGCTTTCTCTGCATCTATTGAGATGATCCTGTGATTATTATTATTCTTTTTATTACATGGTGTATCACGTTGATTGATTTGTGGATGTTGAACCATCCCTGCATCCCTGGAATAAATCCCACTTGATCATGGTGTATGATCTTTTTAATGTATTGTTGTGTTCGA